AGCAGAAGAAAGCATGCGGGAAAATTGTTCAGCTAATCGCCAGCAACACAGAAGAAGCTACGAGAGAAATGGAGAGAGTCAAAGCAGAGATGTAGGGCAAGGGAAAAAGCCATGAATGCTGTCCTTGATCTTACGCCACAATCACCTCAGGATCATGACCAGCCATTTGAAGAGATCAATGACCCCCCAGTGGCAAGGCCAGTTATCAATGGAGCCTCAGTGGCAAGGCCGGTTCTGCATGAAGTGATCAATGCCGTCCCAGTACCAGTACACGTTTTGTGTAGCACACCAGAGAAGTCCATTTATATTGATTGATCATTGAAAATAATGTAAACCTTAACACTGTTACTCAGGATGAAGAATGTGTCTCATATAGCTAGGCCACAAACTAGCATTGACTCCTTTACTCCTATCATAATGAAACTTAACATAGTGAAAGCAAACATGTAAACCAACATTTTTTGTATTACAAGTTTTATTGAATAATTAGTTTAAATATGCAAAAGAGATATAATCTGAGTCTAAAAAATGAATGGAGGTTAATGGACGGCTGCATTTTGGATGGCCCGTCAAATCTTCTCCTTCTTTCTCACCCCAACCTCCCTCCCTCCCCATCCATCTTCAAGTTCCCCAACCCCCTTCTCCCACCAAACTCCCTCTCTATCAAGCCCCCCCTTGTTCCATCTTCCCTTCTTTCTAACCTGCCTCTCTGGCTCCTTACTCCTCTCCTTACTTTTGATGACTAATTTAAGTAGCTTTTTGCATTTTCTCTTAACCTCAGAAATTGAGGACAACTCAAACCTTCCTTCCCTGTTTTGTTAAAGCTAGTTTGATTTCCAAAGTGAGAGGCTGAAATGACCACCAAGGAAAGGTCCAGGAAGTTTAGGGAGAGGCTGAATGCAGATTCTGAGAGGAAAGAGAACTTGCTGAGAGAGAGACGCAGAAAGTAAATTTGACAAGTTACCACAAGTTATTTTAGCCTAAGAATTAAAACATTTCATGACATTATTAATGCACCATCATATCACAATATTCATGGTTGGTTTCATAATTTTTCCCACAGATATCAGCAGAAGAAAGCATGCGGGAAAATTGTTCAGCTAATCGCCAGCAACACAGAAGAAGCTACGAGAGAAATGGAGAGAGTCAAAGCAGAGATGTAGGGCAAGGGAAAAAGCCACTAATGCTGTCCTTGATCTTACGCCACAATCACCTCAGGATCATGACCAGCCATTTGAAGAGATCAATGACCCCCCAGTGGCAAGGCCAGTTATCAATGGAGCCTCAGTGGCAAGGCCGGTTCTGCATGAAGTGATCAATGCCGTTTCAGTACCAGTACACGTTTTGTGTAGCACACCAGAGAAGTCCCCCCGAAACCAAAATCCACCAAAAAAAAGAAGAAAAACTAAAATGACCAAAGAACTACGGAAACTACAAAAACAAAATGAGAAAAAAAAGAAGAAGAGTAAATACATTTAGACGAAATAATCAACGCCTCGTGCAAAGACGGAATATGGATAAACGTGCTGACAAAAAAACACAAACAAAGCGAGGAAACACTGGCCAAGAAAAGAAACAAGTGGAGTCCTTCTTATTAAGGGATGAGAACAGCAGGCTTCTTCCAGGGAAGAAAGACATCATTGGAAGGGAAAAAAAAATGCAGAGGAGAGTACTTGCAAAATCGTTGGTTGACTTGCACAAGGAATACCTCCAGACTGCTGGACCACACCTTCGACTGTCTTACAGACAGTTTGTACGCTACAGGCCATTTTATGTAACAGAAGCCAAATCAAATGACCGCAATACATGCGCCTGCTACCAACATGAAAACCTGCGTCTACTGATTGATACATTGTCACAGCGTGGTATCTTACCATCAAAAAGCCTATCGGATCTTCTTTCCAGCATAACCTGTAATACCGAGAACTTAAAATGCATGGAACGCACATGCACTGAGTGCTGCTTTGATGAATGCCAGCTTGCCACACACAACCTAGATGATCGGGCCAGATGGGAACACTGGGCGAAGGAAGATGTGGTGGTCGGAGATAAAACATATAAAAACTGGGTGAAGAAGACCGAGAATGGTACAGTGAAAGGACTGGTTGAAGAGTTCCAGAAACAGTTGGAAGGTATTGCCATCCACCAGTTCAAATGGCTTCATCAGGCCAAGAAGTTCAGGCATCTGAAGGAACACCTGAAAGAGAACCAAATGGTCCTGCACGTGGACTTTTCTGAAAATTATGCCTGTAAATTAAATACAGAAATTCAGTCATTTCATTTTGGAGGGAACAGGCGGCAGGCTTCTATTCACACTGTTGTGGCGTGCACAGGGTCACAGTCCTACGCCACCATCTCAGATTCAGTCAGCCACAGTGAGCGTGCTGTGTGGGCCCATCTAAAACCAGTGGCCCAGGACATTATGGAAAAGTCTGGCCACAAGATTGACACTATGCATGTACTGAGTGATGGTCCAGTAACTCAGTACAGGAACAAGGCCAACTGTTACTTGTTAAGCAGTGTGCCATACACATGGGGGCTGAATAGGGTTACGTGGAACTACTCGGAGAGAGCCCACGGAAAAGGCGCACCGGATGGGGTTGGGGGTGCAGTCAAGCGAATGGCCGACAACCATGTCCATGGAGGGCAGGACATACAAAGCCCAAAGGACCTTTATGATTTCCTGATCCAAAAAGAGGTCCCCAACATCCAATTCAAATGGATCAATGAAGCAGACATACAAGTGTTTGATGAGATGTTGCCACCGTCTGTTCCAAAAGTCCCAGGCATACTTACCACGCACCAGATCCTGTCATTCTCACCAGGAGAGATTTTCTACAGGACTCTCAGCTGTTTCTGCCGCTATCCAGAAATGTGCAGCTGCTTCTCCCCTAAAAAGATGAGGCCAGACAATCGAGCAGAGGAAAGCGGCTCCTCAGACAATCGAGCAGAGGAAAGCGGCTCCTCTGAGTCTTTTGAAGCCCAGCCCAAGAGTCCTGAAAGTCACAATAGTGGAAAGGAAATGGAGGAAGAGGAAGAGTACACTGTGGGGAAATTTGTCATAGTGAAGTACGAGAATAAGCCATTTGTGGGCCAAATCACCCAAATAAATGAGGAGCACTTTGCAGTGAATTGCATGGAGCAAGTAAGCAACAAAAACATATTCAAGTGGCCTGCTAAACAAGACTGTATTTTGTACAGCAAGGACCAACTTGTTTCTGTCATCTCTGAGCCAGAGCCCTACCAGCGGGCCGCACAACTCACCAAGTACGACTGGTTGCTTTTCAATGAGGTGTGAAAAGAACCACAGGATGTTTCACTTAGGGCTGGGAAATAAAAAAATAACTTAGATAGACAGTTGATCAATATGAAACATGTTCAATATATTGATAAGAGACGGGACCATCACTCCTAACAAAGGGTTCGTACTTATTTACAGTATTTGTGTGTTTTTCATTGTTGTGTTGACATTGGAGTTTTCTTTTGTATTATGATCAAGTTATGTTCAAGTTATATCGTGATTATGATCAAGTTATGTGTGATTAAGTATGATTACGTTTGTTCAATGAATTTTGTATATGAATTCAAATGTTCAATGTTGTTCAATGTTATTTTGTAGAATCTACAATGTTGATGAATTCAATTAAAAATATATATTTTACCTGTGTTTTGACTGAATTTAAAATAATAAATTTGACTTTGTACACAACATAGGCATACTAGTATTCTGTTGTCCAATGGTGCAACAAAATTTCCTGTGGTGCGACAAATTGAATTGTGAGGGGAAAAGGTATTTTAATGAAAAATGTATGTAAAAAGTGTTGGATAGTATAACAATTATATCATCACTATGCAGCTATAAGGATGAAATGAAGATTCCTTGAGTTTTATACTAATTATATTGAATGTAACCCAGACATTTGGGTGAAGTCTCTATGTGTACATCTTATAGTATATAAATAACATAATTCTGAATTTGTTGGGGGTATGTTTGATGTGGAAATATAATTGGGACAAACTAATATGCCTTGTGCTTATCTATCTTACCTGTCCAACATTCTCTGAATTAAATAATGGCATTCTTTATGTTGTTGCACCGGTGGACACATTTTAGGACTACCACACCAAAAAGTGAATAATATGCAAAATATATGAAGAATTAGAAATGGACACATTCAGTTTTGAATTATTCACATATAAGGGAATATAATTATATGTCATTGGACATATATTTTTGAATTATTCTTTTTTTCACTTTGGATTTCAGTTCACGTCAACCACCCATCTATAGTTGTAGTGTTAAATCAGTAGGCTTCGGTTTGCGCCACTCCATATCATTTCGCTACTAAATTCACCTCTTTAGGAAATCGTATATGTGACCCGCTCTATCGAAATCAGTCGGAAGTCGCAACGGCTCATTACAAAATAAACGTGGATTTGAGTAAAAAACTAGTTTTTCGGGGTTTTGGTGT